CATCAGTATCAAATAATGAAAGGAGTGAAATAGAGACATACTTGATAATCAAGTCTATCCAAGACTGGTTTGACAATTTTGGACCATAGCTCAGAAAGTACACTTTCAAATGAAGAGTATGCTCCATCACCAGAAAATTCCATTTTTGCTGCCCTGTCATCTCTGTCAATGGTAGTAAAGATGGTGTGGCAAGGCTGATGAAGAGTTTCACTGGGCATTGTGCTTAGAGTGATGTCATCTTCATCAATAACACTTGAGATGATGCGGTCGTCTTTATTTCTGAGCAATGAATTCAGTGATAGTTCAAGATTTTGTGCAATTTGATAGGTGAGACCATCAAGAGGAAGGTGGATCACATCTTTTGAGCCAGGCACAATCATTAATGCATCACAATGAAACTGACTGCAGTTTAGAATGATCACTGGCCCCGAATGTGCACACTTCAAAAGCTGAGCCAGCTTTTTTGGCATCAAAAATTGTTCAAATTCTGGTATGGATCGAATTTCAGCCAGCAAAAGTTCCCATTTTTGTGCAAGTGCATGGTGCTGTTGAGCTTCTTTCTCTAAAGTCTCTTGTATGGCTTCCTTTATGTCAAGTCTATAGCTTGCTTGTTCTAGCTGCTTTGAGATCTGAGAAACTTTACTTGCAAGTGTTGGATGCTTAGCCTGCAGATCATCAAAGGGAGTACGAAGCTGCAATTGCTGTTCTCAAACAATTGAACGCCCTTGCTCAAGCCATTCAACAGCAGTATCATATTTTCCATATTGGATGGCTGCTGCAGCAGCATCTCTAGCAAAACTTGCTGCCTGAGTAAGTGCACTATAGCGATCTGGAAAAGACAATCCAAGCCATGCCAAGTTTGGAAGCAAAGTCAATGTGACATTATAGGCCTCAAAAATGGATGAATGTTGCAATGCAAGAGCACATTGAGTCCATTGTTGACCAGCATGGAACCTCACAGAAAAAGGGCCAGTGGATGACTTAGCAGCTAATGAATATTGAATCATTGCCTTTTCCAGTGCAGAGTAAATATCAGGACGTTTAAAGCAGCTCTTCAAGAAGTGTTCAAAGCTTTTGAGCTTGCTAGGCATGTCTGCATATTCATCTGGTGTCAGCTGCACTGCTTCATGCTGCATAGCAATGACCTGGTCAACATCTGCCAGGTTAACAAGATGTTGAAAGTGACTGAGGAAGGAGCATCCAAGGCTATTGAGCTTGCTAGGCTTGTCTGCATGATCATCTGGTGTCAGCTGCACTGCTTTTTGCTGCACATCAATGGCCTGATCAAGATCTGCAAGGTTACCAAGATGTTTAAAGCGGCTGAAAAAGGAGTTTCCAAGATTGGTGAGCTTGCTACGCTTGTCTGCATGATCATCTGGTGCCAGCTGCACTGCCCTTTTCTGCACAGCAATGGCCTGGTCAAGGTTTGCAAGGTTACCAAGATGTTCAAAGCAGCTCAAAAAGGAGATTCCAAGATTGGTAAGCATGTCAGGCTTGTCTGAATGATTATCAGGTGTCAGCTGCACTGCTTTCTGCTGCATGGCAATAGCCTCATTAATATCTGCAAGATTACCAACATGATCAAAGCGCCCCGAAAAGGAGTTTCCAAGATTGCTGAACAAGCCAGGCTTGGCTGCATGATCATCAGGTATCAGCTGCACTGCTCTCTGCAGCATGACAATGGACTGGTCAACATCTGTCAGGTTACGAAGATGTTGAAAGCGTCTCAAGAAGGAGGCTCCAAGAGTGTTGAGCATGCCAGGCTTGGCCGCATGATCATCAGGTGTCAGCTGCACTGCTTGTTGCACCACAGTAATGGCCTGGTCAATATCTGCAAGGTTACCAAGATGTTTATAGCGACGAAAGAGGAAGGTTCCAAGATTGCTAAGGAAAATAGGCTTGTTTTTATAACTATCAGGTGTCAGCTGCACTGCTTGTTGCATCACAGTGATAGCCTGATCAACATCTACAAGGTTATCAAGATAGTCAAAGCGACTGGACAAGGAGGCTCCAAGATTGTTAAGCCAGTGAGACTTTTCTGCGTAATCATCTGGTGTCAGCTGCACTGCTTTTTGCTGCATGGCAATGGCCTGATCAACATCTTCAAGGTTACCAAGATGTTTAAAGCGACTCCAGAAGAAGTTTCCAAGATTGCTGAGCATGCCAGGCTTGGCTGCATGATCATCAGGTGTCAGCTGCACTACTTTCTGCTGCATCACAATGACCTGGTCAACATCTGCAAGGTTCCCAAGATGTTGATAGCATCTGAAAAAGGAGGCTCCAAGATTGGTGAGCATGGCAAGCTTGTCTGCGTGATTATCTGGTGTTAGCTGCACTGCTTTTTGCTGCATAGCAATGGCCTGTTCAACATCTGCAAAGTCACCAAGATGTTCAAAGCGCATGCAGAAGGAGCTTCCAAGATTGCTGAGCCAGCTAGGCTTGCCTGCATCATCATCTGGTGTCAATTGCACTGCTCTTTGCTGCACAGCAATGGCCTGTTCAATATCTGCAAGATTACCAAGATGATTAAAGCGACTACTGAAGGAGGTTCCAAGATTGCTAAGCATGCTAGGCTTGGCTGCATGATCATCAGGTGTCAGCTGCACTGCTCTTTGTTGCATAGCAATGGCCTGGTTAACATCTGCAAGGTTACCAAGATGTGTAAAGCGACTAGTGAAGGAGTTTCCAAGATCTGTGAGTATGAGAGCCTTGTCTGGATGATCATCTGATGTTAGCTGCACTGCCTTTTGCTGCATAGCAATGGCCTGGTCAAGATCTGCAAGGTGCCCAAGATGTCTAAAGCGACTCCAGAAGGAGTTTCCAAGATTGCTGAGCCTGCTATGCTTGGCTGCATGATCATCAGGTGTCAGCTGCACTGCTCTCTGCTGCATGACAATGGCCTGGTCCAGATCTGCCAAGTTACCATGATGTTTAAAG